AAGAACAGTGTTAATTTTTTATAAAAACATCTGGCTGGGGTTGTAAACCGGGCTGTTCCCCGTGAAATCCCACAAAAGCCTGACGAAATTCTCGCGTTCGCTCCCGTTGCGCAGTTTATGTAAAGAGTTGAGAAACATTAAGACTTTGGTAGTAAATAGATTTCGTATTTATTGAGCATTATATTTTATTGAAACGCTCCAAGTGCCTTAGCTCTAGTAACTATAGCCCGCGTACAGTTGCCGCTGGCCACGGCCAGCTGCCGCAACCGGTACGCCACCAGCGGCAACTGTACGCAGACTATAGTGTTACTAATACTAGTACTACTACTACCACTACCGGTACTACTAGAGCTACAAGTACAAGTGCCTATACACTGTGTCTGCAAATCCACTTTAGGCACCTTAGGTATCACGAAGTGATGCACAGATTTTTGTGTATCATCAGCTGATGCACAGACTTTCCGTATATCAAAGAATGATGCAAAAAACCTTAAACCCTAACCCTAACCCTAACCCTAACAGTAACAGTAACACACTTCGTGATACATAAGGTTATAGTTTATGACTTAGGGTTAGGATCAGGGTTTTTGCATCATTCCTTGATATACGGAAAGTCTGTGCATCAGTTGATGATACGGGCTAAGGTGCCTAAAGTGGATTTGCGCCCTGTGTCTGTAGGCCTACAGAGTACAGTACACTGTACACAGTACAGCTGAGTAGTCTGTACTCACTCACTGCCACTGGCTCAGAATGACAATGATTCATTACTACCTACCTGTCGCTCCAGCTTTATCGTAAGAATTTTCCATGCAACGTCGTCATATATTTCACTGTTTATTATATGCTAATAATTTTCTATAAATAAATGGTTTTACACATTTCCACACATCTTTCGTGTTTAGACGATGAATATAGCATCCGATTCAGGCATTATTCACAAGGCGCCACCTTTCCGAAGAAAAGCGAAATTATTAGGATGGGCGGAAGTTCGTCATGGCGCCGACTAAAGTTGTTTTGCTTGCATGTGGATCGTTTAATCCAGTAACTAACATGCATCTACGTATTTTTGGTGAGTAATGGGTGGATAACTTTAATTTACAGTTTCATACTCGCTGTGCGAAACCAAGACTGCGCACATGTGTTTGACCGTTTCTTTCATCTCTGACTTTCGAGTTTAGTTACTTGACTCTTGACATTTTCCACAGTGACAAATCACTGTGATTGGAAGTAATTTACTACAAGTTACAACATACAGTACCTGTACTGCGCTCGGTCGCGCTATCTCTCTCTCTCTCTCTCGCCCCCCCCGCCCCACCCCCCACACACACGCACACTCGCACACACAGTGACCCACACCCACACCTACGTTTGTCACTAGGGTCCTATATCAAGTGCAGTGCCATTGGCAGTGGACACCGACAAGTACAAGAACATAACATTTATATAACATAACCCACACCCATAAACACACACACGCTGACGCACACGCACGCTTGCACGTGTACGCGCGCACGTGTGCACACGCACGCACACACACACACGCGCACGCACACACACCAAAAGTACCATGAATGACATGATGTGGTATACCTATCCGGCTATCGCAGATAACGGCCTTAGTTCAGCTCATCATAAACCTGTTGCACATTACTTCAGGGGTAGAAATGATCTTTTGAACAAGGGAGTCCAACGGACTCCCTACCCTCAAAAAGAGGGAGTCCGCAGCAAAATGAGGGAGTCCACAGTCTGAGGTTCAAAATTAAAGATATTAACAATAACGCATGTGCTTATTTTTAAAATTCATGCAGTTGCACGTCTGCCAAATTTTCTTTGGACATTAGCTGAAAAAATACAGTAATTCCGCGAGGCCGAGCTCCGGAACGAACTAGTTAGTATGGCAGAATGTTCAGGGAGTTGCACGGACTCTTGCATATGTCAAATCAGGGAGTCCGACAGTAAATCAGGGAGTATTTGACTCCGGACTCATATTAATTTTGCACCCTGTTACTTTCTAGAACTGGCAAGAGACCAGCTTCAGAGGACGGGTTTGTTTACTGTTGTTGGTGGAGTCGTATCTCCAGTCAATGATGCGTATGTTAAAAAGGTGTGTCCAGATCATTTTTGTCTCACTATCTATCTTACTTAAAAAAACAAAAGATAGTGTTACATCATGCACACAGCCTACCTAATAATAAACTACAGAATTTGTCAACCTCCTATGCACTTAATTTCCTTCGGTAGTGGCAGGGCGATAATGGTCAAGTAAAGCAGTGGGGTAAAAATGTGTGAAATGTGTTATTCAATAATTTCATACAAATTGTAGAGATTTTTAGAGCATCATACCACCGGATGTGATGTAACTGATTATAGGGGATATAATGTATGAGGTTAGCCACAAGAAATGATCGATGCAAACTTGCTTCAACTTGTGCATATGTCAGAGGTTATTGCATAAAAATAGTAGGTTAACTAATTTTTTACCTGATTATTTATTCTGCCATTAAAGCCTTGCAATTTGCACTTTTGCGGGAAATTAAGTTTGTAGAAGGTCGACAGGAGGCATAGTTTATTACGTAGGGTGTGTATACGCATGATGTACATAACAGACTACCCCAAAATTATATCACTAATAATGGATTGTACGTTCGCAGTAAATAAAGTGCTTTCGTGGATGTATAACATTGTGTTGCCTGTATTATTCATTCTGACATTTCTGTATACTATAGAAACTTATGGTTGATAACCCATTAGTAATTGAAGATGGGTCATGTGTCATTGCATAACTAGAGAAACTAAAGAATGAATAGCATCACCATAATTTTTTCTGTGATGACATTCCAGGATCTGGTTGAGTCATATCATAGAGTACAGATGGCAAAATTGGCAACACAGAGCTCAGATTGGATACGGTATTGAATAATTAATTAATTATGTTCTCTTTAATTCATTACCTTGTAGACAGTGTATCACTATGGTTAATAACATATGGAACATGTTTTGTCATGCATTGTGATATTTCATGCATTGAAGTCATCGCTTTTTTTATGTAAATTTTGTTACTTTACATAAAGGTTCCAGTTGTTGATTTATTATTCAACTTTGACTTTTTAGAGTCGATCCGTGGGAGAGCGAACAGAACAGTTGGGCGGAGACCTTAAAAGTGCTCAACTATCTTCAATTGCAGCTTGATAGTGGTTGTCTGATGTCCAATGAGAGTCCAAACAAAAACTCTCCCAAGAAGAGAAGGAAAAGAAGACGCATTTCAGATGAAATACAGGGTAGCAGCAAAAACCTTTCGTTAAGGGTCATATATCATTTTCGTACAAGATCGGCTAGGAAGATTATCTATTTTTTTAAGGTTTTGCTTGTTATATGTATGTATTCCTGTACTAAAAGGATGTTTGAATACAGTGGACTTTTCTGTTGTGGTAATCAGGCTAAGACCCCTGGAAACTACGTTGGGGTGATGCAGGGGTTAAACCACATTTCATGCGTACTGAATGCAAACAGAACAGATCATATAGCTGCCTCGTGTATGTATGTGGCTGGAATGCTTAATGTAAAATTCTGACCGTGTGTATGCCACTGAAATTTATATGGATAAAGTCTATTTCCAGTTGATGAGGTGGACTACAACATTACGAACACTGTGATATCTAATCAGAGTTTGATCAACACATCTGAGCCTATGAAAGCAAAGCTGTTATGTGGTGCTGATCTGCTAGAATCGTTTGCCGTGCCGGGTTTGTGGCAGCAGGAACATGTAAGTTTAGCAATGCAGCTGCCGTTAGCCATGTTTGCCAGTTTTTAGCTCAGCTGGCGAAGTCAGATGCAGCTTGTAGAATCGCATTATTGTCCGTGCGTCCTTCCGTTCGTGCGTCCGTCCGTCAACAGTTGGGCACAAATCTTAACCGCTCGACGTACGGTCTTGATATTCGGGATGTGGTGGGGGGGATTGCGAAAAGAACTTGGGATGTTGAATTTGGGGGGTCAAAGGTCAATATGCGTTAATGGAGGGGGAATATTCCCCCCTTAACTTAAGGTATAGGAGGAAATACGGAATTGCGGCACAAATCTCAACGGCTCGACCTACGCTCTTAATATTTGATGTATAGTGCGATGGGGAGGAAACCCTTCACCAGCACGAAATTTGAGGTCACAGGTCAAAGGGCAGTTGGGGAAAGGGCAGATATCAGACATTTTCTGAGGACATGGTCTAACGGACCGAGTGCAAAACTTTATTGAAAGGACTATGAAATGTACTTTCCGCTGACGTGCGAAGAGTAAGTGTCTGATAAACTTTTGACCCTCAAGAGGAGGGTTAAACATGGATTTGTTGACTGTTAACAAAGGACTGAACTGCTTTTGCTATTAGAAATAAAACGGGGAAAGTTTATTAATTCGACTAATACTGCAACATGGTTTCAGCATTTTACCGTTGTACACTCTCCTTCTTTATACGCTCTTGATACTATATACAGTAGGTACTGTGAACAGAAAAAAATTCCAGCATTTTATTTTATAGAGTAGACAATTCTTTAAATGGGGGAAGCATTCTTAGAATGGGGGTCTAACAGCAAGCATAGGAATTTCATTAAAGAAATGCCTAAATAAGGGAGCATGATACAATAATTTGATTAAACAATATAAGCAAGAATACTAACAATAATTTGATCCTTTTTATTTCGTACATTGCATAGTTAATTCTTTTGGCTGTAAATACTAATTAGCTTATTTTTAATGTGTACACCATAAAGCTGAACATGCATACATTGCAGCATAGAATTTTGTGGTTATTGGGGCAATAGTAATGAAGTATACAATAGTAGGATACGTTTTTTGAAATTTTAGCTATGGCATGTGTTTTAAAAATTACTTGCAACCAGAATCATTGTCAGTGCTGCCACTTTATACTTTTTTTAAAGAAAATCTACTTTTTATACTTTTTTCATACTTTTTTCATGCATAAATACTGTTAAATACTTTTTTTGCCAAAGATGGTCAAATCTTTTTGGACTTACATTTAGGTACACTGTATTTGATGAGAGTAAAGATGTGCTTTGCTAGTCTTGTTGCAGGAGTGATGTGTGCTCTGTTCAGTAGAGTGTTTTTCCTCTCAGCTTTCTGCTGTCAGTGACCAAATGACAGAGCATTGCAGTGGTTCCCCCTCCCCTCCTGCATTGACACGAGCGAGGCAGGCTGCCTCGCTCAAATTTTCAGCCACCATACAGAAATTTGTCCAAAACACTGCCTCGCTGACGAAACTTTTGACAACTTGAAAAAAAGATTCAAGAGTCTCATACGATGTGTTTAGAATAGCTTAGAATGCACCAAATTGCACCATTTTTTCAAAAACCCTAGACCCCCCTAGCTGGGCAAGCACCTGCACTGCTTGCTATGCTGGGACCTGGAAATGTGCAAACACACCATTAGTGATGTCCCGATGATCGATTATAATCGAAAATCGATCGATTATAGTCTCAAATTCGATAATCGATTATGAAATTCCAGCCGATTCCCATCACTACACACCATACAAGAAATTTACCACCTCAAAGACCTTTTGGGCCAGGGGAAACACTGCATTGAAATATTCCAAATTGAGGGTTCAGGAGACAACTCCTCATGGCATTGCACACATCATTCCTGTAGCTTGTTTACATGCTGCACATAGGCTATAATGTATTCGGTAACTAAGTATAAGGTAACAAGTGACTACCAATCATGGTAGGTTGATACAAATTTATACTTTTTTAATACTTTTTTTAGACAATTTTGATACTTTATTCTGGACAGATTTTATACTTTTTTTGTAATATCCTGAGTGGCAGCACTGCATAGTCTTGGTTAATGAATGCTTGTTATTGTTTTATTAAATTCAATAATTTTACATATGAATTAATTGTTTATAACAGATTGAAGAAATACTGGGCAAGTATGGTCTAGTGGTAATCTCCAGAGAAGGTTCCAATCCACTGAAATTCATATACGAGTCGGACACACTCACAGCTTTACAGGTACATTACGCAGCCAGCAATTCCGAGAAAAAAGTGAAGATATCTTACTACTAACTGCGTAAATCTTTTGTGAGAAAAATGTGATTGTTCCTTATAAGAATGATGACATTAGAAAATAATATGTTGTTAGATGCATTTCGTATGTTCTCTGTTTGTAGGATAACATTCACATTATCACTGAGTGGATGCCGAACGAGATCAGTTCGACAAGAATAAGGTATGAATGGCTTTTAGCTGCCCTACGTCATTCAACAAATTATACCTCAGCAATTGAACTAGAGAACTTGAGAATTTCATGCACACTGAATTTCTGGTGGACAACAGGACTTGGTTCCACAGTCGTGGATTAACTCTTAACTCAGAGTTAACCTTAACTCAGGGTTAAAGTTAATCCACGACTGTGGAACCGGGTCCAGGCTTTTACAATTGCTTAGATGGTTCGGGCATGGATGTTAAAAAAAAAATTGCCATATATAGGTGTGAACTTTGATTCTATTTTTGTGATTACGCATCCAGACATTTTTCTAAAAGTTCATAGGGAATTCCTATTCATGAGTCCAAACATTATGAAAACTTGGATGGGATCTGATCATAGTATTCAAAATGTTTTGCAATACATTCGGATGAGTGAAACATGATGGGTTTTCCATTTCTGCAGGCGGGCTCTGGGGAGAGGTGAGAGCGTGAAATACTTGTTACAGGATGGAGTCATCGACTACATAAAGAAGCACGAGTTATATGGAGCTGTGTCCACCGTAAATTCTAACCTATCTAAGTAAGCTTTGCCATCTGTCTCAGGTATTGTTTGCAATGTATGAATATTTATTACATGCAGTCCCAGACTGCACGTGTACAAGGTCGACTGTTATTGTGCATTACCGTGAAACTCATTGCTGAGTTGCTATAAAAGTGGTTTTTGCACAGTGATAATGTGGGCGTTTCCATATTACAAATCCACTGTCATATGTCATACTGCTCGTTACTTTTGAGTAGTGGAACAGGCAGCTGGTTACTGTAGTTACTAGTTAGCTATTACATGTCTATTGTTCTTAATGTCAGTAATTCGCTAATTAAGCTAGTGGAGTACACGATAACCCATATGTTTAAACCTCAAGTCAAATTTTGTCGTTTTTAAATAACCACTAAGAACCCATATGATGGCAGTCAGTGGTACATCTTAGGGATCAGGGTTCTCCCTAGGAATTTCAAAAAGCATGCTGTTTATGGATGGAAAGGGGAGGGCCTGGAAGGAGGATGAACCAATTTGAGTTCATTATGCATGTCGTAAGTGGCCCTAATATGCAAGTAAACTCGATCAGTTCGGAGATGCATACTTCACGCTGTAAAAACAGCATGACCATGTCGGGATTGTTACAGCTTGAAATTAAGACATGTTGATTAGGCAATTGAGGTATGTCGGAGAATTTATGAGATGTTGCAAATTAGCTTCAGCGTTGAATGAATGTCGGACCCGCCATGAGTTAAAGCCCTGGGGAGAACCCTGTTACTTAGTCTCATTTATAATGCATTTATCTAGAGCCAGCTGTCAGTCCTGAGCTATGTTAAGCTGTGTTAGGATGTGATATATTTGAGCTATGTATGTAGAATTGGTGATATGTTTGCATCCCAATACTATAGTATAAAACAATTTCAATGTTATGGTTGTCTAGTCGATGATGCAATTTCCCAGAGAAGTGTACTATCTGCCGTAAAATGTTAATTGATTGTAGCTGGCTGTATTCCCATGTGAAACACTATATCGATTGGGTCGTAATTGTGTCAACGAAGTTTATTATTATCATGGTAATTTATAGCTTTGGAGGCACGATAGAAAATCTATTGAGGGGTTTACTGCCAATTGAGAATATTTTATATGTTATTTGCATATATATGCATATATCCATGTGCACGTTTATTTCTATATATATTTAATAATTGTAATGATAATAGATTTCCTTTGTCATATACATTATTTTACTGTTTTGCTTTTTCCCATGTTATTCTCCAGATAATTTCCATTTTTAGGAAAAATCGAAATAAGTATCAGTGTGTGAAAAATTTCCTGCACTCGTACAAGTGATCAAGTTCTGTGGCAATGGAACAGAATCTCTCCTCATTCCTGTATTTCCTCGCTTTACTGTCATTATATATATGGTAGTTTGAACCAATCTCAAATTGGGCAGACTTCATCTCATTTAATTTGTTCTGCACATTTCACTATCATCATAGGGTACAGTGTGAAAGTGTTTGTGGTGACTATTCCATTGCACGTGTGCCGTACATCATCCGTATGACCGCAATCGCATTCACCTTGCCGAGCCTTCATATGCACGATTTTTCTCTTTTGCACGCCGTCCCGCGTATTTTGACGACAACAGTAAGTACGACACCGAGTCCTTGCAGTCTCTGCACTCGCCGCTGTGGGACGACGGTTACTTCTCTCACTCCAACACGGCCAATAGCTTTATTCTGAGTCCCGAGCTGCCGCGCCAGTCCCAGGCGCTGTGCTGCATTAGAGACATGACCGCGCTTGCGTGCAGGATCACGGCCTGCAAGATCGCGATGACCTCTGAGACATTCGTTTAACAGAAGCCACATCACGTGCAAATGGTCAAGTAGTGGCGAGCATAGCTCTACCTCTTCTCGCTGTGCTCCGTGGTAGAATTATAGGCCTATCATGGTGCATGGGGGCCATAGAACTAGAGCTACGAAGAGCTTATGTTTACATGTCTGAAAAGTTGTTTGTTAATTGTTCCAGCCTGCATTTATTTTTAATCTGTGGTCGTCCCACCTTTTAAGCGTACGAATGCCATTGCTTCCATATACCTGAAGATCCTGATGCCTTTCATGAGTTGTGCTTTCATTATGTATGTGCGTGCGTGCGTGCGTGTGTATGCAGTGCTGTGAATGTTGTAGAGGTCTGTTAGCAGTTCGGACCTTTTCACTGGTGCTTTAACTGTGTATTGGATGTAGCTGGTTTAGTTGTCTCAAGTCCTCGACTATAATCTTCTGTTAACTATTGCGGCAGACGAACCTGATGAAATGTCTGACAAGATATAGGTAGCTTATTGGTATTCATTTATAGTACTCATGGTATTTATGGTATTCATTTATGGTATTCATTTATGGTATTGGTTTATTGGTATTTATTTATGGTATTCATTTATGGTATTCATGGTATTTATGGTATTCATTTATGGTATTCATTTATGGTATTTATGGTATTCATTTATGGTATTAGTTCATTGGTATTCATTTTGGTACTCGTGATATTACCAGGAGCACAACATATAGGCCTCGATATCATGTAGTCCCTATTACTATTCTGAATAGTATCTGGAAAACTATGAATCAGTTTTCCAGATAGTAGACACATCTAGAGAGACATTTTAAGTCACATCTCATTTTTATGTCAAAATCGTACAAGGTGTGATAAAGCCTGCAGATCATTAACGGTTTAACAGTGATCATACTGTGTCTCCACAGTGATGATGTATCTCTACAACTACTTTGGATGAGCCATTTACATCGTGCTTAATTAATGCTGTACGTTATAGTTACAGTTCAATGTCTCAGCTAAGATTTGAGCTTGGATGAAGTAACGGGTTGACAATAGCGACCTGTCGAGAGAATTTAGTGGCATAATCTTACTTACTTTACTACGTGTCTACTGACGTAATACTGCCTAGCATAATAGTATAGACTTCACCAAATGTATTTTTCCCTTCCCAAGATACGGGCTTCCTAGAGTGCACAGCACTGTTCATAAATGATACCTATTGCCTGCCCTACTGTTAGCCTTTCCTGGTGCACCAGGCTAGATATTGGCAGTGATATTACCTCTCGCTATAAATGGGAAGCTTCTAGCACAAATGACAAGGGCATTTACAATGAAACAGCATTATCGTAGATGACACACATTGAAACGGGTATGAAGCGCATTGTGAATCGAACACATCGTGAAAGAAGCTTGCATGGAAAGCTGGTGAAGTGGCTACGTAAATAATGGAAAGTTCGACGTTTAACAATCGTTCAAGTGTCAAACTTGTTTATTGTTGCTTCAGTTTCTGCATACATATATGCATCATGTTATTACAAAAGATAAAAAATATAAGTGCTCTCATAGCCATAATCACGCAGAAACTGTGACTTGTTTTAGCTATGTGTTATAACAACTTTATAACTGAGAATAAAATGAAGGTCAATGAATAATATCCTATACGGTCATAATTACAAGCTCAAAACAACCTATAAAAAAATTCTCTATCCTATTATATGCCACTCTCCCCACTTTTATGTTGTATAGACATAATGTTATGCAGGAAATAAGTTGTTCGAAATGAACTTTCATGCAAGACGCAAACTCAATACTATTCTACAACCAGGAGAACAATATAATACATGATAAATCAGACTAGTGAACTATCACATGTAATAAGTTGATGGGAATTAGAATTTCATATAAAATTCACCAATTGTGTTGGTTAGTACAGAGTGAATTTTTCTCAAATCACATAAATATGTTTTAACATTCCCTCTAGCGATCTTACCCTAATAAAATAACAACATTAGAAATTATAGTATCACACAATGGGGTGGCAGATGGAATGTGTCTAATCAAACTGACAGGATACTGTTGTGGGTAAACAGATCTTGATACATTAATATTCAATTTTTTTGGATGGGTCGAACATGGCTAATGTTATGTTGAGATTTCTAAAATATTTCTTTTGTACATCATCCTATCAGGAGTGAATAATAGAGATTCTATTATTCACTCCTGATCCTATTATGCTGTTTAGATGCCATATCTATGTAATACTGCAGGTTATATAAACTAGCGGGCACAACAACCAACTATTGCATAAACTATATAAACTATCCCGAGTGTAAAAGTTGGCAAGACGTTAGTCACCCACTATGCAGCAGTTTACAGGTTATCCTTGATCAATTCTGAAGCCAAGAATGCCCTTCTCAGTGCTATACGCTCCTCAGCTGTTAGCGGTTGGAGCGGCGCTCGGGCTGGACCTCCATACAAACCAACCCACTCCATCGCTGCCTTCAATCCTGACACACCGAATGTTTTTGTGACCTGCAACCGATAATATAAGATAATATCAGGAGTGAATAATGATAGATTATTCACTATTATTCTATTATTTTATTATTATTCACTCCTGATGAGTGATGATATCATCAAGAGCGCATTAACCCCAGAGCGTACAACGCTGAAATAGGAAAACCATGGTGTCGTTTCAGCAAAATTAATAAAGTTTACCTACCTTATTTTGATACTTCTCTACCGGAATATTATGCAGGAGTCATAGCTAGCCAATATAAGATGAACCGCTTGTCTCTACGATGTTCCTATGCCGAGATATAAAGTGATAAAAATCGAGTACTTCTAGGTAATCCTAGCGCCATATCACCGAGTAACACGCCTGTCCTGCGTTTAGTGACTGCTAATGTTGCTTCGACAAAGCTCGTATGTTTCCGTCGTTCATTGATAAATGAGATGAATCATATATAGCCGAATAAAACTCGTCACTGTGATCCTGCTTCTCTTGTCTTAAACGCGTTGTAATATAATTTACTTGCTCCTGCGATAGTGTTGCTGATTTAACATTCCCTTTCCTTCTACTATCTCTTCTCACATATCCAGTCGCAGCCATGACTCAAACTATAACGTTTACAACAGCTAGACTGGTACCCGTCCCTTCTCACACCCCCCGCCCTATATCGAGCGGGGTGTGTGAGAAGGGACGGGTACTAGTCTATTACTACAGCTAGCGTAAGGGGCGGGTCATCACCATGGCGACCCGACTCTTACGCTAGCTGTAGTAAACTCTGTAGTAATGACGTAACGAGTCAGCGCTCCAAGCGGCGACCGGAAGCAACATTAGCAGTCACTAAACGCGGGAGAGGCGTGTTACTCGGTGAGATGGCGCTAGGATTACCTAGAAGTACTCGATTTTTATCGCTTTATATCTCGGCATAAGAACATCGTAGAGACAAGCGGTTGATCTTATATTGGCTAGCTATGACTCCTGCATAATATTCCGGTAGAGAAGTATCAAAATAACGTAGGTAAACTTTATTAATTTTGCTGAAACGACACCATGGTTTTCCTATTTCAGCGTTGTACGCTCTGGGGTTAATGCGCTCTTGATATCATATAATCACATATACAATGCGAGTAGATGTATACTACAGCCTGTAGGGAGCACTGGTGCATCTATCAGCATAGTCACCCTGATGAATTTCAAATCATTTTAATAATAAATACCCACAAAAAAGTTATGATTGTTAAAAGATGTTAATTGTGGCAATGTTTATTGAGGTAATTTTCTTTAATAATAGGTAGATACACACGAACTGCCAAAGCCTGATAGCATGTTACCACCTAAAACTTGCTACAGCAAGGTGTTTCACTTTCCCTACTTCAAACTTTTACTTTACTATGACTGCATAATAAGTCTTGCATGTAATACCCGCATCTAAATGTCCCGCAGTAGATGGCGCCGTGAGACGTGCACTATCAGATACTAGCTCACCGCTGTATTCGGTCCGATCAGCATTTGCTGAAGTTGCAAGGCAGTCTCCATGTCGCCCTTGTGATAGAGGGAGTGAACGTCGCACACCGTTTGGCCCACAATATTGGCTACAGCACAGATGCCACCAACACAGCCTAAATGCAGATCAATATATTTCAGCTCAACTATGTTCATGCCATCCATCATAATTTGATTCCCATCATACTTTATTTAAGTTATTCTAGGAATACATTATATCGGGCACATTAGTAACACTTATACAGAACGATGATGATATATGCACTTATACCAGGCCGCAGCTAACCTATTTTACTTTGGGAGGCAAAGCCACACAGGGTTTGAGCTCTGGGCAGATGACCGAGGGCAGTTCGACATGGGCAACCACGTAATAGTACCCACATCCAGCTGGTAATCACCCCCTTTTACCCCCTGCTCCCCATTAGCTATGACTCTGTATACAAATGACTGACATTGGTAAACGAAAACTTAACACATGAAAATCAGGTAAATTTGTTCATCATGAAACCTGAAAAAAAAATCTATATCTGAATTTACAATATTGGTATAGCTTATTGAAGCAGTTAGTTTTCATCAGTAATCTATGACTACATTTGTGCAACGTATTTAACATTGCAAAACAGTGCAAGCATTTTTTATGGTTATTTACAATCGGCTTCTAACATTCAGTCTCTACACATCAATTCAGTGCAAAATGTGCAGCAATCATGAAGTTGTTATTATACTGTAGTGTATATAATTTACTTACCTATAACATAGGAAGGAAGCAAAAATCCTGCAGAACCAGCAAGCACTTGAAACCCATTATCTTTAGTCTTGAGCACTATGTATCCAAGTTTGGCCAACTGATAATATGGAAATGCACAATCATATCACACAGCCAGGCAAACATATTTAACTGAACTATCCCATATATTTACAGGCCCAACTTTGCTCTAAATGAGTGTGGTGAAATAATATGGAGAAACATTAAAAAAAGATGAACATACTGACAATTATTCGCATGACCACTAGCGAGAAAATATTCTGCAGCCTGGGTAGAGTCACTGCATAAAGCATCTGGTAATCCCTCCGGAATAAGACGTACCACAATTATCACATACTAGCACTACCCGAACGACGCAATATGAATATCTACAACATATAGAGAACAGAAGCTACATTGAGTTGATACTAGTAACCAAACAATACTCACGTCACCACCACTGTCCTTGAAGCCAATGATGTTGGGGTGCTCTGAAAGCTGAATGACTGCATCAACTGACATATCTACAACAGTGTTTGCCGGCATGTTGTATAATATTAAAGGCACTGGGCTTGCATCTGCCACCTGTAAAGTCAGAGTGACATCAGTCTTGGAAATGTCTGAAAACCCCGCCAATCGCAATTTAAAATTTTTATTCTGACTTCCTGGACTGGTAGACTGGTCTGCTATTTCCAATGCTGATTGTGCTTGATAATACTAGTCATTCATCATCATTTGATTAAAATAAAATCAATCAGATGGACAAAGAATGGAGATTTATTTAAATTGGTATGAGGGTCTTAGCCAATAGGAAATGCAATATTGGAAACAGGTTTCTGGATAATCTTTAGTAAATGTAGTATTCATGTTGTGAATATAATAGTTTTATATTTAGACCAACAGATGTTACACTTTTTTGTTTGCCACTTCAAATGTTTAACATTTCACAAACAATTGTATATAGTTTTTAAGTGTATGCTCAACCATTCAACGTTTTATTTAAGCTATACAACTACTAATGTCATTTTATGTTCAACCAGCATAACACGTTCATACATAGACATGATAATGGAGCATGAATATAATTCACAACCCTGGGCAGCCAAACATTTTCAAGTGGGCAATAGTGATTAACTAATATCTTTATCATGGCCATAGATTATTGATTAGCAGTATAAGTGGCTTGAATGGAAGTACAGCCAATGTTTATATGCAAATGTGATAGATTGCTACAGATAATTACTGCCACTACCTTTGTAAAATGATCAATAATGGCAACATTGTTCATCTTGGCCTTGAAAAAGCTTGGTGTGATCACTAACACAGCATCAGCACCAGCGTCCGCTACTCGCTTACTCATTTCTATCGTCTCTCTTGTAGCTGTAAATTGAGTCACACAAATTTTTTAGAAAGAAACACATGTGCATATTCACAGAAAATGGGTGGGGAAGAGTTGGAGGGTGGAGAGATAAAGGTCAAAGTTAACATGTGCAGGAGGGGAGAAGGTGGAGAGTGAGTTGATGGCAAGTGTAGGAGGTAGAGGTAGAGATGGTGGGTTGATGGAGAGTGGAGGCGGAGGAGATGGGATGAGGTGGAGAGATTAGGTTGATGAAGGGTGGAGAATGAGGTATGTGGGTATTCATATAGAACGGGTAGGCAAGGGTTGGATTCGGAATGTGGAGGAATTAAGATAGATGTTGCGATGTACTGAGGGAGAAAATGTGAAGAATGGGTTGATGATAGATGTAGAAGGTGGAGATGGAGATGGTAGTTTGATGGAGATTGAAAAAGGTGGGGGAGAGAGGAGGTGGAAATGGAGAGGTGAGGGTTATGGAGGGTGGAGAAAGTGAAGGAGATGAGGGTAGGAAGTGGATATTGGAATAAGAGGTGAAGAAATGGGAGGGTGGGGGAAGAGGAGAAGGGGCAAGGAGAGGCAGAAATGGTACTGGTGGCATAAAGGGCGAAGGTTAATAAGGTGGATGAGGAATTGTTAGGACCGAGTGGAAAAGAGAATGTGAAGTAGTGAAGGGTAGATATAAAGGAGTAGGGTGGAAGAAATTAGGGGAAGTTGGAAGAATAGGGGGAGGATGTGTTGTTGGCAAGGGTGGAAGTGTTAAAGAGAGGAAGATAGATTGGAATAGGGGAGGAAACTATACGAGGTGATATATATATATATACATAAATATGATAAATACATACATTCGCATCCTGCTCCTGCAAGAAGTAGCTTTCCTCTAGCAGAATTGTCCCTCACGCACTTGACTACATCAACTCGTTCCTCAGGGGTGAGGTGCACTGCCTCTCCATTCGAACCCAACACTACATAACCTGGATAAAGAGCAATAATTTAAAATGCTTCTTCTCTTCTGTTGATTCGACAGGACATTACCATAGAAGTATTTTACTTGCTCCATTGATGGCCAATAAGAATTTCCATTAATGGTATCATTCTACCGAGATGAAAGGTCCCCCCCCAACACACACAAGCACAGACACATCCACGTATGCATGCACGCCTGCACGCCTGCACGCAAGCACGTGTGCACACACACACATACACGACCAAGTGTGGTGTTTTTTCCTTTAAAATTTCTAGCACAGTAATATCTTGTATTAAGAAAGTGGCGTATTTCAGATAAAACGTTCATTATGTGAAATTCCTTAACTTGAAACATGTTTACCAATTGACTTTTCTATAAACCAAGTTATCGAAATGCGGGGTACTACTGGAATGACATATACCCTGCTACCACAGTTGCACCTATGATTACAATTGTTTTAACAAAAGTTTTGTTCTCAGTAAAGTATAGTCTATTCAAAGAGCTGCTTGTCTGCATAGCAAGGGTAGAAATTAACTTTTGAACACGGAGTCCAACGCACTCCCTATCCTCAAAAAGAGGGAGTCCGCAGCAAAATAAGGGAGTCCACAGTCTGAGGTTCAAAATTAAAGATATTAACAATAACGCATGTGCTTATTTTAACGATTCATGCGGTTGCACGTCTGCCAAATTTTCTTTGGACATTAGCTGAAAAAATACGGTAATTCCGTGAGGCAGTACTCCGGAATAAACTAGTTAGTATGGCAGAATTTTCAGGGAGTCACACAGACTCCCGCCTATGTCAAATCAGGGAGTCCGACAGTAAATCAGGCAGTATTTGACTCCAGACCAGCCTAAAAATTACTTTTTTTACGAGAGCTCTTTTTTGATTTTGTATGAAAAAAAGTGCTCTCGTAATTTTTTTTACGAGAGCTATTTTAGGCTTGGCCAGAGCTACTTTTTCATAGCATGATTTTGTTAAAATTTTCATCATTTTGATGCACTGACTCTAATAATGTCTCAGAAGCCAGAAATTGTGTCCAATTATCGTAAAGGTGTTTCCCAAACGAAAGTCAAGATTATGCTTTGGCGAAATCGACGAGGTCAACAATCATTCATAATGGTGACAAAATCACGGAGGCCGGGTTTACATGTTGCTGTATGCATGTTGTGTACAAAGTATGACTGCATGCACTGATTGGCTCATTCACATCGTTTTTTTCATTCAAATCTCGTCGCAGCAAGGCAGCTTATATGTCTGTGCAAAACAATGCAAGGGACGGGTGGAAACAGAAAAATCTCATTATGTCTAGCCAGTCAATAAAAAAAACTTGCTTGCCCGAACAGGCAAATGCAATTTCAAGCTACTTGCCCGGGGGCGAATTTTGGTTGCCCCGGGCCATCGGGCAAGCGGGCTTGTCGAGCACGGCACCGCAGGTTTCGAATTTCGGCTGAAAATCTAGTGGACAGCAGGACCACCAACTTGAGAAAGTTGGTGGACCTGCACAAAAATTTGGTGGTCCGCTTATTTACTAGCAGTGAGTAACAAAATAGTATATAAAGATAACCATTGGCATTAAAACAGCATACATGTAACTTAATTAGAGTTGGTCAAATAATGTTTCAATCTCTAGGAATGTCGGGGGAGCTTCTGGGTACGGTTTTACTTTCGTTTTTCTCCTCCCCAGGCCACGGTACCCCCATGCATAGATCTATCAATGCTGCCGCACATCCGCAAAGTTACAAGTGCCTAGAATCTTTAAGTATATATATACAGTTCACATTGCTTCTAGATATCTAAATGAATAAAAACAGTTCACTTTCTACGTTAAGAAAAGTGACGAATTCAGTTAACAGCTTTGATTACGTGCGTGTCAGGTGTCACTGGTCGTGCCCTCACTCCCCACGGTAACCCCTGCGATATAAAAACTTATTGTTATGCGATCATAAAAGCACTGGGCTGCCCTACATATGCCAGGCGATGCCGCGATCGATTTCTTAGACTGTCGCAAGTTTTTGTTCATGTGGCGAATCATGCATTGAGGAAGTTCATAGATGTTTTGGATACCCCGTCTACGTTGAGGAACGGGTCGTATTATGCGCTCCGTTTACAAGTTTGTCTAAACTGCCGTTGCGATAACCGTAGTATTTCAGCGTAATATGAGGGGAAAAGGTGCCGGTCAGGAGGACCGGCAGTTTCGTAGAGATGGTGGCTCGAGCAAAAACTTGGTGGGCCTCCGGGTCGGAACTAATTTCGAACGCTGCCGGCGGCACGGGAGCGATTTTTTCTCGTATCTTCCAAAATTTTCGCTCTCTCGTAATTGTTGTTACCAGAGCACTTTGAAAGCTGACGGGAGCGAAATCGCTCGCCGCTCCCGTGTATTTTTTTCGCTGCTCCAGACTCCCGTTAATTTCGCACCCTGGCATAGTATTACCATTTGTCCTATAAGTATAAGTAAGTAAGTGCAATGTAAGTGTAATGTTAGTGAATTTAAGATTTGTAAACACAGTGACACACCCTTTAATTACCTTTAAAATTGATCTTATTCCATTTTTGAAGATTTTCTTTCAGTTTTACGAGATGTAAATCTTCGTTTTTCTTGAACGGTGTTACGATTGGCGGAAATATGCCACTAAGATCAAGCTGCTCGGTGTCCGAGTCGGTGCTCACTCTTCGACTGATTGTGCCACCAAGAGTAACACCAGCACTAGTGTCACACTTTCGTCCTTGAATGTGACAACGAACAGTAGCGACTGGGGCAAAGGCACGACGTAATAAACGATATATCGATACACCGCGAATTACTGAATTCATATTTAATGGCGTATTTCAAGGTTGTTTATTGTGAACTTGTACTTTTAACACTGACAGTCAACAAAACTTCGTGTTATTATTTACAAGAACCAATGACAAGAACTAGCACTACCGGAAGTGCACTTAACAGCTATCTAGGTAAACACACGCATTTCCGGGAAATAGATCTGACTAAGATATTTTTTCGTGATTCGTGTTTCTGTACACTGAAATGTAATTAAAACACAGGCATTTTTAATCAGTATGTTTACACCGTTTTTAATGAGGTCATGAATAAATCTATTAAAGTGTAATTTTACGCGGATGAATCTTGCATTTTCTCTCACTACGCCGTAAGAGGGAGCATCGAGTTTCAGTGTGAAATAACTAAGCCTACATCTACATGTAGAATCTAGAAATGATCCGGATTTTATGTGTAGTTTTAGGTCGTTTTTCGGAAAAATTATTGGTATTTACACACAGCTCTTGTTGGTTAACTAAGAAAGCAATGTTTTTCCAGCCGGACTCACGTATCTCTACCTAATTTTGTGTGTTTGGCTATGGGTGGTTGTCTTGGATCATCAAGAGATCGTAATTCAGGAAGTAGTGGTAGGTATCAGATTTAACTTACTGTATTCAGTATTGTAGATTTGTACAGTACACTACGGTAACTACTGACTAGCATTGTCACTGTCAGTTTCGTGATAATCATTTAGATTTACTGTTGAGACATACTATGTTGTACCCAAACTTGGAATCTTGCACAAACTTGGAATTTCAACTCATCCGCAGTTTGGCCTTTTTTGGGCAACCATTATGGCATATAATATGCGAGTATAACTGAGGCAAAGTAGGAAGGAATTTCTCTAATAATTAACAAATTATCTAATATAATCATTTATTATTTTAACAAAGTCACATTTGCTAAACACATTGAAGAAAACCGAAGAAATTAACATTTCGTAGCCTATGAATTCCAAGTTTGTGCAAGCCCTGCTCACCTTGCCCAAACTAGGGATTTTCCTATTATTGAACAAATTATCTCAACTATCCATATAATTTGTTAACCAATATGCAAACACATTCAAGAAATAAGAGATGGGAACTCATTGTAATGATATAACATTTCGTAGCCTATGATTCCAAGTTTGTGCAACCCTTGCTCACCTTGCCCAAACTAGGTTTTGCCCAATCACAAGATTCGCCATTTTAAAAGTGTAGTTGAATAAGCGACTGTTTTCAGTGTGCGCAATCTTGAGATTGGGCAGCCAAACAAGGAATTTAAATCCGCAGTTTGGGCAGCACTATCACTGCGCGATCTCAAGATTGTGCAAATTCCAAGTTTGGGTACGACAATACCAAACACAATTCTTATCAGTGTAGGATATCGTAATCGTATCCGGGAACGACAATACCAAACACAATTCTTATCAGTGTAGGATATCGTAATCGTATCCGGGAACGACAATACCAAACACAATTCTTATCAGTGTAGGATATCGTAATCGTATCCGGGAACTTGTCATAGTTTCTGCAAGTATCTATCAATAATACAGTGTCAGTGACAGTATGACTATTACTAATACTAGCAAGACTCCATTAACAAGGTACTTTTCAAAACAAAATTCTCACTGTCTCTGTCCATAGCTGTCCTAAATAATACTAATAGGCATACAGGGTGCAAAATTAGCACCAGCCCACTGGCATATGCTGGCGAATTATTTGGAGGGCCAGTAACATTGGCAAAACACTGGCCCTCCGAGCCGGTGGTTTCAGCCGTGTTAGCGAGTACCTACATTTTTTATTTATAACATTAATGAGCAAATGGCCTACATTACTATTTTACCTGAAGGGTATCACGCCATAATTTATCAAGATTTTACAAATTTGAAATCGAGAATGCAAGCGTGAAACATGACATTGACAAAAACACTTCGGACATCATTCACGATCTACGTTATAGTCTGTTCAACAGCTACTATGCGATGCCGCACATTGCACCATTTTTCTGACAAGCAAGAGTCAGTGAAACAGTCTTGTCTTTATTTTTGAAAACAAAAAATTTGTGAGGGCTAGTAAATTATGGTGAGGGCTGGCAAAAAAACTGCTGCTACCAGCCCTCTGGGCCGGTGCAAACAATCTGAATTACGTGCTGTGGTATATATGTAGAATGTAATCACTCTAATGGTCATAATTGGAGCTGCCATTGTAGTCTTTTACAAAATTACTTTAATTTCTAACTGGCGCATACATTGTTCATCGGAAAATTTCTATTGCCATAAAATTACCTCACTAACAAGCAGGGGCGGACTGGCACCTTGTGGGCCCTCGGGCAATACCTGTGATTAGGCCCCGGGCCACTGACCGCGGTCGGGGGTCCGGACTTTGTGAAACTCAAAAGGCCTGCAATATCAGAAATTCTCGATAAGGAATACCGTGTTGAAATTTTTACACCAAATCACCCATTCAAAAAATAAGGTTGTTAAGTTGGTGATTGGAACTTTGAAAAAGTGGTGGAACCCTCACCCCCCTATGGATTGGAAAAAGTCATCGGATTTGGGGCACAATATGTTCCAGACCGACCGATGAAGAAGAAAAACTGAAGAAGAAAAAAAAAATATTAAAAAAAATTCCCACCTCGGGCATTGCCCGATTTGCCCGAAGGGCCAGTCCGCCCCTGCCAACAAGCATCTCATGAGGATGCTGAATACGAAAAGGTTTGAAATCGCCTAGGTGGGAATGAAGACCATTGAAAGAATCTAGCTAGGGAAACTGACGTATGTACAGCAGATCTTTTCATCTGGGCTTTCTGCAAAATTTTATCAGATTCATGGACTCCTGTCTGAATGAGCAACCTACCTGCTATGCATTCTGACTTTGTAGTTCTGGTAGATGAATAGGCTTGTTACAACAGTTAAATGCTGTTGCAAAACTGTTGTGTTGAACAAAAGTTTATTCGTGTGATATACTCTGTAATTCGTTATTGATGTTTGATGATGATTCAGACCCAGTGCAAATGTCTACAGTCTGGTCTGGTCATTGGTTCTTAACCCTATCCGAATGTGATGCTAATTCTGTTCGTGGGGCAGGGTGCTAAACAAAATTTTTTTTGCTTATTGTGTATGTTTGTTTTTAGTGGGTTATGAAAATGGTTGCCCGGAGGCAAAAGTCACTTGCCCCAAAAACATAAAGAAATACATTTAAGGTTTTTTTTCTAATATGAATTTAAATGGTAAATATTACATGGCCTCGCTGGTTCCGTACTTAGTTGGTGCTGAGTTCGGCTAAAATGCGTTCACACGAGATACATGGCCTCGCTGGTTCCGTACTTAGTTGGTGCTGAGTTCGGCTAAAATGCGTTCACACGAGATACACGAGATTCGAGGCTTAGCTAGCTAGGTATAATATAGACTGGTACCCGTTCGACAGTTCCACACGCTACACTAACGTTGTGCAGCGAACGGGTACTAGTCTAGGTCAGCGTGTTACAGTTTTGCAATTCGAATGCGTTCACACGACAGGCAATACGCGGCCAGCGTGGTGCCGAATATACGCGGCTTAGTTGGCGCGGAATATGATTCCGCGCTAAGCAAGCCGCGTATTTAAGTACGGTACTGAATAAGCCGCGTATATTTTAGCGTGTGAACGCTCAAGTACGGAACTGAAATCCTCGTGTGAACGCAGCTATTATGTCTAGACATTCAATGAAAAAAAATTGCTTGCCCGATCGAGCAAGTGCAATTTCAAGCTATTTTCGGGCAAGCGGGTTTGTCGCGCCCTGTGGGGATAAGGATTTTCCATCCGACAAATGCGACAACGCAATTTGTGTTTATGTGTGTAACTTGACCAGCCAAATTCCAGTCGTTCGGGTTAGCTTAGCGACCTGTGACTTCATCCAGTGGTAGGCAGTTTCTGGATTCCCTCAGTAACCCAATTTCAAAAGTGTGGCGAGCCGGTTTTACTGTCCCGACTACTTAGGGGGTTAGGAACCACTGCTTGGTGACGCTTGAGTCGGTCAACTGGCCACGCCACCTTCGCTCCGTCGTCCGCTAACCACCGCTTGTTTTTGGCAGCAGCACGGCGAAATTTGCAGCTAAAGCCTGAGAAGCCCAAGTGGAAGAGCGATGTGCCGCTGACCGACGGGCAGCTGCGCAGCAAGCGCGATGAGTTCTGGGACACGGCGCCGATGTTCGAGGGCCGCAAGGAGATCTGGGACGCGCTGAAGGCGGCGTCGTACGCAGCCGAGGTTAACGACCATGGCCTCGCGCAGGCCATCATAGACGGCGCCAACATAACACTGCCTCACGGTATGCACGGCGCGTGGGCGGCGCTCCCGGAGGGTCGAATATCTGGGCTGAACGACGTCATGTCACGTTAGGACGATTCGTAATAGGAGGGGATTGATCTCTCCATGCTACTCTAGTACCATGGTCCTGTTTAAGACTGATGTGTGATGCATGCCGCTTGGCAGTATCACAATCATCGTTCCATTCGGGAATCTCGGTCGACAATCACAGTGGCAATGAGGCTGCATCCTGTAGAGACTGTCCAGGCCTCTATTTCGCACATCTAATCTTATGTTATGCTACGTTCTAGATAATACTTATCGGTGTGACATTACGGGGATGCAGGGGTAGAAATTAACTTTTGAACTCGGCGGTCCCACGGACTCCCTACCCTCAAAAAAGAGGGAGTCCGCAGCAAAATGAGGGAGTCCGCAGTCTGAGGTTCAAAATGAAAGATATTAACAATATCTCTATCAATAATGCATGTGCTTATTTTTATGATTCATGCGGTTGCACGTCTGTCAAATTTTCTTTGGATATTAGCTGAAAAAATACGATATTTCGACGAGGCCGTGCTCTGGAACGAACTAGTTAGGTAGTATGTCAGAATTTTCAGGGAGTCACACGGACTCCTGCATACGTCAAATCAGGGAGTCCGACAGTAAATCTGGGAGTATTTGACTCCGGACTCCCTTTAATTTCGCACCCTGGTGATGTAGTGGCAACGTAATGTACGTGCCTGGCATAAGTGTACATGTGTTGTGCACAAGAGCTTGCTCATTTTTGGATATGGTTTGGAGAGAGAGGAGCAGCGCGTGAGAGCGAAATTAGGAGTTGAGTGAGTTTGTGTGAGGGATGAATTCAGGGTTGAAATAAATTGTTTCTGTGACAAGGGAAGTGTTGCCTAGCGTTTAAGGTTTAAGAAAGTTTAAAAGGACCAAGGCAAGTTAGCGGAGCACCTATGCAAATATTTGTCTGATATGAGGAGCAATAGGGCACCTTGCTTATTATCAACACATTTTATGTGTGACATGGACCGATAGTCCGATACGCATAACATGATATTTACACGACGGTTACAGAGGCAAACAAACAACGTCAGCGACGAAGTTTTATTGCAGTGGACATTGTCCCATTTTTACGGCATCATACTAGTAAATAGGAGGTTATTTACGGCACTTGTTGCCCTTGGTATGATGAAATTTGAGCCTTGGATAATCCAGGTTCGTAATGCTTCAATAATTTTGTGAGAACATCGCAGCGAGCGAGAGGTAGAGTGCGAGTCAGTGAGAGTGAGGAGACATTCACAAAGGCCTAAAAAAGAGGGACGAAATGCGGATGATCGGAAATGACTGAGAGGAGGGTGGCGTAGAGGGCGGTGGGAGGAGATGGAGGAGGAGGAGGAGGAGGAGGAGGAGGATTCGTGACATATAATGCTCGTGTTTGTGCGCAGGCACGCTGACGGAGTGCTACGATGAGCTGGGTAACCGCTATCAGCTGCCCGTCTACGTGCTCAGTGGCCCTACCAACATGATAGAGGAGCACAGCGAGACGGACCAGGGACAAGACTCGAACGTGAGTGATGCGCGTGCGCGGCTGTTCCGCATTTTCTCCCGGCTACCGGCTTGCTGGTAATGCACAGGCTCAAGTCAGTATCAATGCATGTAGCTGTAACACCCCCCCCCCCCCGTAAAAAATTATGCAGCGGTGATTAATGAGGATGACAGTCGTGATTAGCCCTGGTCGCCCTCTTCCAAACCTCATACCAACCTAACGTAATTCGGCGATGCCACATGCATCTTCCTCTCAATCGTCCAAGGCACGGGATCTTTCCCTGTGTCCGCACCGGCCTCGTGTAGTAATCTCGATCGCGATGTCGGCAGGCCACGCTCGGACCAGAAGTGACGCTAAAGCTGCGGTTGTCGACGGGGAAGGATCTGAAGCTGCTCTGCCGGACGACAGACACCGTGCTGGGAGCGAAGAGGAGACTCGCAGAGCTAGAGGGCTGTGAGCCGCAGCATCAGCGGTGGTTCTTCTCCGGAAAGCTACTCAACGACAAGGTAAAATGGATATATTGATTACGCGCAATCTTCATACGCTCTGATTTGGTCGATATTCGCCATCGATTACCTATGTGTAATTACATTATCATTCTTCCTGCTGGGTATGCTGAGAATGGAAAGCTTTTTGCTCAGGTGTTTTTTTGCTACTGTTTTGTTACAAGTTAAATTAAGGGTAATGATCAATCATTGTGGTGGGGATACAGTCTGCATAGATTTGTGTACTCCAGGGTTCACTCTTTAGTTCACTAGGTAATTTACTGTGTGTCCTAACATGTGAATAGCCCAAACTAAAGTTTTTATTATTTTCTCTCTGCCTCATGACATCATTCCTCTTCTGTGAGCAATATGAAAATTGTATTCATACTCCACTCATTGTAAGGGCTTTCTTATTTCTTCCACTTTCTTACTTTCTTCCTCATAGTACTAAGAGCTTACAGATGCTAACCGTATTGGCATATATTGCGGCTATTCAATCTAAACCCCTACATATAACTAGGTAAATAAGGGGATTGGGAAACATACTAACTAACCCTAAAAATGTCCAAAAAATGCCAACATTAATTTTTCCATTATTTGAACCCAGGAGAGTGCGTTTATGACTGTTGCCAAAAAAATTAGTACACCTTGACCATGAGAGAGCATACAATTCTTAACTAATACAAGGCACCTATAGACATCTTGGTGCAATATAATATAAATGTGATGTGAAATGGCATTATTATGATAATATGTAATCATGTTCACTCTCACTCTCCCCCTTGTTCCCCTCCTCCTTCCTTTCTCTTTGGCTTATGACAGTATTACGTTATGCATAAAAATACATATGTGATCCACTCACTAAGTGGTTTCAGTTGCTATCTATATTTGTATAATATACAAATATTATATTATATTATATTATGGCAATTTAAACTAAACCTGTCCCTATCACAACCTTAAAAGGGAGTCGTATATCACATCATAAACTACTCTACTAAAAATATGTGAATAATGACACTGTCACTATTTCGGTAATTTGGAGCCTGGAGTACGTTTATAATGGGATGTCAAAAATGAACATGCCATGCCAGCGGGAGCCCAAATGTTTCTCTAGGCTATGCCATTACTTCTGTGTCTCCGGTGAGTAGCGGCATTCTAATGCATGACATCTTAACTTCGCAGACTCGAATAGAAGACGCCAAAATCCCACAGTCATTCATAGTTCAAGTGGTGATCAATCAGCCAAAGCCCTCTCCGAGCCCCGTGGAAAGCTAACCCGTGACGCGAGATGCAATGACGACTTCCCGACGAAAATTCACAGAAGTGCACGCGACACGATGTACTTTCAAGACGAGCGCAAGCAGGAGCCAAGAATCGTGTGTGTCGCCGACAAGTGTCCTGCGGTAGCGACTGCACGCCAGAGCATCGTTCACTGCACGCCATACGGTGAACTTGTCTAATGGGTGACATCGTATACGTTGAGTGATTGCTTGATGAATAGCTGTGAGGACTAGTGGGATAGGGAGAGAATGTGTGTGTGTGTGTGTGCATGTGTGTGCGTGAGAGAGAGAGACAGAGTGTGTGTGTGAGAGAGAGAGAGAGCGAGAGTGTGTTATATTCGATTTCCACTTACTGTATGACTAGGAGGTTCTTCTCCCTAGTCAATTATCTGCATGAGTAAGTTGCATGCACGTTCACGTGTTTGTAGTGCACATCTGAAGATTGGCTATTCATATATATATAAACATATAATACAGAATGCAAAACCAATATATGTTTTTCGTCATAATAGTCTCATCTCATAGCGAGTGGAGCCATCTATATCACAGTAATGCACTTTGACACGCATGCGTGAAGGGTCTGTGAATTCTCTCACAGCAGTTAATATTATGTCCCTAAAGTATAATAGGATATATCAGTAGTTCAATTAATAATCGTAGTTGTCCCCCAAACATTTAAAATGTCATATGAGCAATTTTAACTTTATCAGGTAGTTCAAATTATACTTGGTTCATACTTGATTTTTGTATGAGTATAGCAGGAACTTGTATAACAATGCGATTGTTTTGTGATACTTTGTATTACAATGGCTATGTGAAATTTGTGTTTTCACCACGTAATGATGAAAGTGCTGTATTGCGGTGGTGACGCAGTACCATGCCAACGTTATTTAAACAAGTAATTCCTAATATATTTGTTTAGTGATTACTACGTATTACGTTGGTTTGTGGGATCTATTTGCCATCATTATGCAAGATCCTGCTGTATTCCCAACTAATCTTGGCTCTAGAACAAAGAATCCTTCATCACTAGCAATCACTCTAAAGCCATGTAATTAAGGTCTCTAGAGAAATGGCAAGCCAAAATAAAGCGCCAGTTTATCTTGTGTATATAAATACTGGTAACAACTAAAGCACATCATTTCAACTCAGTGTAAAAAAACCTGTGGAATTTAAACAACAGAGTGAAAAGGAATAAACCCATATTATCGCGTAGTTGCGAGTATACACTGGTTACCCTAGAGCACTGATTCCCAATATGCGCAGTAGGACCCACTGGGGGCTTTGGGATTACCTAGGGGAAAGTGACAGTCAAGAGGCAGCGGTAGGTGTATATATGGTAAGGGCATTAGGGATGAGTGTATTGGGCCAAGTGGCCGTGGTCCAAAAACGTTTGGGAAGTACTGCCCTCAATGGACGTCAGCTTTCACGTAGTGCATCCATTCTTTCTGAAGGAAATTTACATTATTGGCTGTTGGTTAAATAGTTGTTTAGTATGTTTAGGTCATTTCATACTATGAAATTGGCTTTAATATAACCAACTTACCTTTGCTAACTAGTTTATAAGGCACAGGTATAGTTCGGTTAGATTTTGCATTCCGAAATTGATTTCATTCATGCATGCTTTGTAGTGTAACTAAAGCACAACGCTAATTTAGAGCCTATGTGTCGTGCAGTGTTTTTGATTTTTTTGCCCTGAACTGTCGAGGTTTCTGTCCGCTGTTTTAAAAGCAGTGGTGACGTATTTATCGATTTTCGATCTACACTATTTAAATTAGCATGCATTCGGATGCAGCTTATAGTAATCATAAGGTCACTTACTTGAACGTTGTTATTACGGTTGATGTTGTTTCATCACAATGTTGTGAAACTAAGCTAAGGTTAAATAGATTAAGTATAGCTTTTCAATAGGATGTCACTATTGGAAAAGCAGTATTCGTGTAGCACGTGTTGTAGAAAGCTGTAGAAGCGGTGGTGCTGTTCCAAGCATTACACAGAAAGCCGTGGTAGCACTGATGCTGCCCAAACTTCACATGCAGCTTAGGAAAGGTCGGTAGAATTAAATTGCCCTGGAATGGACAGAATTCGCTGGAAATTGCACTGAATCGGAGCAAAAAAATCGTTATGAGGTTCTCGCGTTGCAGATTCGCGCGGCGTGTAGTGTCTGCCATCCGTGCGTGTTCGTTGCATACAATTGTGCGCGCGTGCGTCTGTGAACCCTAATAGCCACGGGGATGTGTCTATGCGGGGACCGAGCAGCATCGGGCGCATCTAGACTACTTGTCTGCCAGGAAGCTGCCGTCCACGCGCGCAGATAGTCACGTGAAGGCAACTGGTCCTACAGTAGTGACCGACGTTGGGTCGTAGATTAGAGATCGCACGGACGCGCGGGGTATAATATATAACCGTGCACCGCTCAACGTTGTAGGGTTAGCGATAGGGGGAGAGACACGGGCCCAGCAGTGACGGACAAGTACAGAGAGCGTCTGATACGTGTCGCCACCCGCCGTGTGGTGCATCCGTCGATAAAATCTAACGTCAGCCTGTCACTCGCATGCGTTAATTGAATCGTTTGGGTTCGGCCTCAGCCAACAAGCGCAGACGTTCTCCTCGCAGCCGCTGAATTCGCTCCGTCGCTCCGTGTTTGCACTTCGCTGCAATATTTGCGCGACAGAAACCCGTTGTCATGGAAGAGGGAAGATGGTGTCCAGGAGATGGAGACGCCGTCGCTGAATGTATCGAGCAAACGCTGCCGTATCCCACGCGTTGTTGGGGTGGGGGGGCCACAGGCCGCATTTATTATTTTGCCGATGTGCGCCGTCACACGAAAAGCTGTGTAAAAATGCGAGAAAACGTGTGTAGTGTCTGTAGGGAAGCGAGGTGGATGTAGTTTATTGGAGTAGATGCGTAGGCCTAAGGGCTGTCCTCCTAAAGATTTGACCCCCAATCAACGTTGACTACAATAAGGGCTTTTCTTACAATCGTTTAGTCATATCTATGGTCAACCCCATCAACGGTTGAGCCCGGTTGGCATTGGTAAAGTTGATCATTTTTCTTCGACTATTATAATCAATTTATCGAACCGCACTTTACCTTGCGCTTGCTTGTTAATATATATATATATATATACATATTAATAAGCGAGCGCAAAAAAAATGTTTTTCGCTATACCCAAGATCCATCACGGTCAGCCTACCCTAACACACACACGCACGCACGCACGCACGCTCGCGCGGCCAATGAACAATAATAATAGAACGTGTGACATTATCCCGAAGAAATTCCACGCGACAGGTGGCGGTGACGTTGTCCGTTGAATCGCGTGAGTGGTTCGTGCTATTTATCGTTGCCTTTTTAATTAGCGATTTCTAACTACCGTGTTGTGTGGTCGAACAATAAGGTTCATTGTTTACCCTTATCATTGCTGTGAACACCATCACTGGCAGTGTGGCGCGTCTGTGCTTTACGACATATATGTATAGGTCAGAGTACTAAAACCAAAGATGCATGTAAAAATCTATAATGTGAAAGGAATCGCATTTTATGAATTTCGTGGTTGTATAAAGATATGGAATATTGAATGTTTTTATTTCAGTGTTCGTTCGTGTGGATTTTATTGTAAATATTGAGCAGTATCATCATTATCATGCTTACAGTTAGTGGAAGGAACTTGTTCTAAAAAAACTCGTTTGCTTCGAGCGTCAAATTCAGCCAGCATAAGGTGTCGGTGCTACAAACTTACTATCTACGAAATGGGGGAGGGAGGGAGAGTAGAGTAGGTCTCCTCAGTGCTCCCTATGTAGTGAATGGTTCTCCCTAGTACACGACATCTAGTACACGGTCTGTATTAAAATTTATATGCGTATATGGACCGCTTTCGTTGTGGCGCCATGACGTTTACTGGGAGTCTTGCCAAAGTCGCACGAACGTTAGTTATATCCTACTCGTGCGTGTAACACGGCGAGTTATTCGAAGCAATTGAGGATAAATTGGGTGGGGGTATCAGGGGGAGGGGTGTGCTTTGTTGGAAAATACTCGAAATTAGCTAGTAACGTTTCAACGGGCAGTTGGCGGTGTGAATTATTGTTGCCGATCTATAACCGCATGTAATCACGATAGGTATTTCGCCCGTGGTATCCAATTGCCGTTAGTCTGGAAAAATGATTCGTAAAAGGCTCGGAATAGAATTGCCTAGCTCCATTATATAGTTAGCAACGGTACAGTACTGTACAGTATGTTTCAGTCAAGAAGGCATGGCGTTGATGAGTTGACGTTCTTAGTGTAACGGCTACCACCGTATTGTCAGATTTAATCAATTTTATTAAATTTAATAAAATGCAGGTAAAAACGCGCTTTCTCACAATGGCTTGACTGTACTGTACAGTGTACACAGTACTGTATTGACGTACGTGTATGTTCTGTAGCGTGTACGTGTTACGTCGCAATTTTGTGAAATGTGTGCATATGCTGCTTTCCCATAATTTTCCTGTAATTAAATGTAAACCGGTACTGGCCTTCAAATTTCCCAATTGTTGGGGTGGCATCATTCTCCAATTTCGATTCTCACAATTGTTTTTTTCAATGCAGAAATCGGCACTCAAAATTAGTTGAAATCTCTGTAATTTAAACAACATATAGCCAGCTGGAGGTTTCATGCTGTATTAGTGATTTTGTTATGTCTCCACCTTGTTTTCCATGCAATATTTTTCAACTGGCTTGCATGTGTTGAACAACGATTCAGCCCAATTAAAGTTGATACATGTATCACGTTGGCGAAACGTGATGTTGCTACAGCTGCAGATTCTGGAGAACACATACGCGCATGTAATGACACCGTGCACCATGTACGCATGTTTTATCGCTTAATATCGAGTTAATAAAAATGACACTTCTGTAAAAAAATATCTTCACAGTTTCGCGTTCGATGTGTTTTTAGTAGGAAACGGCGCTCGCCAGCTATATACTTACAAAATCAGCTAAATGAATTTCCTGTCATGTGCGTAGAGTCCTACTGTAGTTCGGATGTATGTAATAACAAGACATCGCAAACGACTCTCGTGCTCATACAGAGCTCTCTCTGTTCACGTACTACTGATTTGTTCTTGGGAAAGATACCATGGTATATCATACGTATAGATTTTCACCCAAATCTGTTAAAAAATGAGGTCACTAGAGTGATGACAAACACTTTTCTGATAACTCTAAAGATAATTTTGAGATAAATAACAGCGACCTCGAGTTGAGCGCAGAATTCTGAAACACAAACTAAGTACTGCCACACCCAATATGCAATGCTTGTATGAAGTCTCACGAAAATCCATTAGAAAACAAATCGAAGTCGGCAGAGTTATGACAAACATTTTCAAAAAAGTTGTTTCAAATTAGTAACAGTGACCTTAACCTTAACCTTGAGCACGACACCCTGAAACGCGTTTGGGTACTGCTTAACACACTGAACGTCGAGCGTCATGGAAAGAGGTGGATGATCATACGTGCAACCCCCATAACGCCGCTCAGCAGAGATGTTGCGAGGGAATGAAAACGTTCACACAATGACTATTATGCGACAATCTATATAGCGAATGCCATGAACATGTACATTTATTTTTGCCATATTATTTGCAGTCGTGTTCCGACGTTGAGTTAGCACCAGTTTCATAGTTTATTCCAAGTCGGCACTAGAACCACGTACGTCCATCTAGGAGGCAACCAATAGCAACTACTGCCGCGCAGAGATATTATATTTGTACCAACGTTTACACCAAAACACGCAATTGTAGATAATTTGACAGGCAGAGTGAGACCTGTGCATTTAATGGTGAATTATGACCGCCGACATATGCACGTTAAATGCACGCATAGCAGATGCATGGTGAAGAGATTCGTTAAAAATATATTTCAGATATTATAAATATATTTTGCTATACCAGCGCATACGAGAAGATTTCGCGTTAATTTTTGAATTACCATCGAACATGAAGTCAAGTTATGGCTTATGACAAGCTATCACTTAGTCTCATATACTTAGTTTGATGATCAAGTTATACAAAACGTCTGCCCGGAATTGGTAGGGTTCCACCACAGGAGATTTACCACAATATCCACACCCGTCGGTGCCTGATGGGACAGTAGCAGCCCTTTTAGCTACTCAGAGATGTAAGGGCGACACAAGGTGGCACCTCACACGTGTCTACGACCAATAACTTGATAAGGTTAAACTAATTAATTACCACCAATAACAATGACGCTAAACCTACGCTTATCCTGATGCATTATTGCTTTCCACTGCGTAGTAACATTCGTTTATAACACAACACGCATGCATAATTTATGCGCACACCAAGACAACCCTGATAAAGCTATATGCTGCAGCACCTGTACATTTTATTCCACTACCGATCCTTATAAGTGTTTACTATTCGACCTATTTTAGTCTATTACAGATACTTGGGAATGTTGGCAGATTATACTACACATGACACCATCTAATTGATCTGCAGGAATGTTGATTACTCGACATATACTTCACTCTATTACTGATCCGTAAGAATGCTCATTACTCTAATCCACATACTCAATACTGCTGCTGATCCTTAGGAAAGTGTATTATACTACTTACTTCAGGCCTTTATTGATTCCCAAGAATTTTCATATTCTACACAATTCTTTTCCTTTAGCGGGTATTTCAAAGAATCTGTAATCGAATACAAACTTGAGGTGCTGCCAATCATGATATAATCGCAAAATGACAGTGGTGGGAACTTAACAAGTTGCAAACAGTAATCATCACGAGGATTAAAAATCCCGAAAATAATGATACAGATAATGGTTTTCTTTTTCAGAAATCCATCTACCACTAATAAACAACAGCATACAAATAATGCAACACTTTCATCATTAACCTTTGCATGCGAGGAAGATGTTAGGGGTTATAGTGATCCCCACGTGTTACCACTATCTAACATTATGTATTCTCAGAAGTAGCTGCCTCATGAAGTTCATACAGATTAAAGGTACAACAACGCTAATATGTAGAAATCAGTCACATTGAGATGACTTGTCAACATCTACACCAATTCAGTGATTAATTGATATGTAACCAAACCAATGAAAACACTGGAAACCATAACTAATAGATGCCATTATTATTCACAACATTCTATATTAATGCATCTGATGTCCAATAATAATTAAGAACGCATGATTGGAATGCTTAGAAATATATAAATTTATATATATATATTTCTTTATTGATTCTGTTTACTATTAGCATTACTTTTGCATCTTGTCCTGTAGATTCTTACAAAATTACCAGGTAGTGGCATTTCAATTTTTCAACAATTTTCTTATCATGTCCAGGAAAGGAATCTACAGGCACGTCAGGTACAAACACTGGGATAAATTGCATAGATTTAAATAGAAAGGTGTTTTAGTATTTTTCCCACATGAACACTATTGCTACATCAAAACGAGGTTAAAATAGTGCCATTCCCTTGTAATTTATGCAAATTAGTTGACAGGTATGTTTCAATAGAACTACATGGTTTTCGCACCAGAATGCACAAATGAAATTTTCTGATGATGACACCTCAATGTGATATTCAATAAGATCAAATCAAATCCCATTTGAAAGAATGCTCTCATTATCAATGGGACCTTTAGACACCGGTTGTAAATAAATTGGGAAAAAATCTACAGATCTACCATACTCTACTATTCTACATGCTCAGATTAAACGTTCAGTATGCTACCTACACCAATAACGTATAAGAAGTGCTATAGTTGACAACCACTGTAGCATTAGTTTTTCATGCGTTCGTCAGTTGGGTCTGCCCATCCTTGGTCACCAACTGCACCAAACTTCCATTGGCTGGGCACGTTTCCCCATCTATCCACTTGTTCAGCAATCTGAAGAGAAGAAGAAAATCACCTATGATGCAAAATTCTAACAAAGAAACAGTGGTTTAAAAATCGGACAAACTCAGAAGGAAAGTTGAGCCAATGGCCACTCTTCGTGCACCGAAGCAGCAGACATTTACATGATGTTACTTCGACTCTCAGTTTTGTGACACTTGATCGTTTCTTACTCGGCAATGAATTCCAATGGAGTCCAGGAACCATGATCCGCATTAGGCATCCATTTCCGATTCATTGGCGTGTCGAGAGTCACTCTGCAGAATGGATAGACAATGAAGGGCAAATACAAATTCAGGTGCAAGCTTAATATGTATCTGTCCAAACACTAGCCAAAGGTGTAAATACCGATATATCCTCACAATAAGCATGCACTATGTGAAACACTTATGCTAGATTTTCACACTGAGGGCACAGGGATCGCTAACCAACACACATAAATTGGATGAAATTCACCTTCCTATTTCGTACAGATAGCATAAGACATTTTAGCAAATACATTTGTTTTGTTTACAGTTGAGATAAAAATCAAATGAAAAACAGGTAAGCAAGGTAGACTTATCTAAAACTTATGACACATAGTTTAACACCTGTGGCCAACATCTGTTGCCGAAATTTGTTGAATCACGTGTTACACATTGTTGCATGTTGAAAGTGAGACATGTTTAATGATGTTGCAGGAAACAGAAATGCTCTATTCCAGACAGTGCATAACAACATTGTTTAACAACATCTACCGATTACTTTATCACTTGTAATCACATTCGAACATCTTTATCGTGCATGTGGTATGATTAAAGACTGCGAGTAAACTATGACAACTGCCTGTTAGTGTTATTAGCAAATGCTGAATGATGTTAGTTGCTGCTTCAACAAATGACAACATTTGTAGCCAACACATGTAAAACATTTCAAACATGTTTCACAGACTTAAGCGCTATTAAGGACAAACGCAATATAAAGAAGTATTTGGACCACACACACGAATGATATCAATTCTAAACTAGACAGAGGGCACTCACGGAGAGTGCATACCTCCGCCAGCATGTAACATGTATGTGTTACGAGCTGGCTCGCCGCTCGCTGCTGGCTGCTGCTGACTGACTCGCCTGCTGCTGACTCGCCGCTCGCTGGTGGCGGCTGCTGACTCACCGCTCGCTGGTGGTTGCTGCTGACTCACTCGCCTGCTGCTGACTCGCCGCTCGCTGACTCGACGCGCTATCGATCGCGCCGCGTGGACTGGACATACACGCACGCACGCACGCACGCATGCACGCACGCACACACACACACACACACACGAGACCGATTACATTACCCCCCCCTCCACTCCGTTACTCCGTTAACTCCGTGGGCGGAGGTAACAATACTTACGGCAAGATAGCGTAAACCTTCGACTCTGCAGGCATGCCACTTTCCTTTGCTGCTAGGCTCTTCACAAGCTGGTGAACAGATGCCTTAGCCATTCCATAACCAATCATACCTGCAAATTGGTAGCATCGAAGTTAAGCGAGTATACTAAGAATTTTTTGCACCAACATGGAAAACTAGCAACAGAAAATTTGTTATCAACCTTCATTTGGCATATACCAGTGGGTCACTCAATTCTCATTACACAATCTGTTAGAGACGACTGCATCTAAACATAAAAGTAGCACTACCTGGTCTTTTTTTCCTAGCATTCTAAATCTGAAGAAGCTTGTGCACCAACAGGCCTGGTGTACCACCCCCCCCACCCCACCCCACCCCACCCCTATACGTCCCAGGGCACTTTTCCTAGTTAGTGTTTTATATGAGGCAGCATGTTGCAGCCCACAACCACTGGGTTACATTCTTCCTGTCTCTCCTGGTTTGTTTGCATAGTTATACATTCCAAAATCAGTTGAATCACTACGGTTTTCTTACTACGGTTATGCCAATACAATTCGCTCACCATTTCCTGGGATCCCAAAGCATTTTTGACCACTAGCACAAAATTAACTTACATCTATATAATTTATATAATATGCTACAAAAAGACTTGCAGTTCTTTCCTCAAAATATTTGCCCTGAATCTTCATGCTCATAATACATCAATTTCCAATAACACGAATACCAAACTTTGGTGTTTTGATGTGACATGCTGGGCCCCTTCTACTTCAGGGACCCAGGTAACGCCTACTTTTTTAGAGGTTTTTATCACCGGGTATTCGATCCTTGCTTACCAGCAGTGCCCTCCAGTGCAGCTTGGGCTCCTGTGAGCACCAAGGTACCGCCTTCCTTCAGGTGCTTGCTGGCCATGTGGGCCGATATGACCGACGTCCAGACGCTCTGCTTCCACATCATGTCGCTATTCTTTGCGAGATCTACATAAACAAAGGTACCTTGCTTACGTGGGACCTGGGTACCACCTGGAACTTGAGATACTGGGACTACCTGGGACATGCTTACCCACACAACGTTGCAGCCTTTTAGGTTTACATCTGTAATACAGCACTTGCAACATATTTTCTGCAAAGCACTTCAGCCAACAGAACACAAAGCAATTAACAGCACAGCAATGAACTAGTAAGTAATAAATGTGATGAACGCAGTGTATTTGAGTCAGAGTAAGAATAAAACCGATGGGGTAGAGGGGGTACGATGTCGAAGCTATACACGGTTAGCATCGGACTGAATTGCAAAACGCATCTACTCTCAACTCTTGCGTGGTTTCGGTAGGAAACTAGATGTCGGCACGAGGACCTGCACGAACGCATGTGCTTGTGTGAAGGTTCTGCGTGCCTGTGCAGCAGTGTGTTAGCCAGACACCCGTCTACCAGTCTTTTGGACGGCCTATTCTTGGATGAGACGAATGAAATTTGATAGAGACGGCATGAGGGCGGCCCAATTTTATATATTATACACCTTTTATAACTGACAACAGTGCTTAAGAATATAAAATCATATCAGATTCCTGACTTTTTGGCATTTCAGACTAAATTTCCTCCATTTTAAGGTAAGACCCTCCCCCCTGTGCAGGTGTGTGTATGTTCACGCAGGCATACTGACACTGCAGTGCACTGTGCTCACCTTTGCTGGCAGCGTTTCCTCCAGCCCAGCCTCCTGCTACACAGATTATAGCATCCACCTTGTTCTCTCCCACAAGCGAGTCAATGCCTTCCGATACCTGTTAAAGGAATTTGAAAATATCACTCATGCTCTAACTATAGTCAAAACTGTGGGTTTAGAAATATACATTTCAGCTTCTTACCATATTTATATGACTGCGCAATTAGAAGAGTATAAGAATTGGCTTATTAGGCTGTATGATAAACACAGGGCAGAAGGGCAAAGCACAAAAAGCCAGCAGACATTTCTCCAGACCAGCCAACTTCAGACCAGATTTCTTACATTACTCAGGGGTAGAGGAGCAGGGTTCGAAATTAGGTGCGCAATTGGGACAAATGCGACTTTAGTTCTGAAAATACTAAAATAGCAACATCAAAATCCAACCATGTGCAAAATTTAGCGACTGGTCTTTTTCAGAGTGAATGAATGATTTCCCTTCTCTCTAAACGATATTGCCATCATAGGATTATGCTAGTATAAACAGAAGAGTTTATTTAAATAATACATGGTTGTATTTTAAAATTTTCACCTCCTCTGTTCGATTTAGCACCCAAGATTTAATGGTGCTTGCATTTTTAACACCTTGCCTAAAAAGCTGGCCCTGACCCATGGAGACGTACTGAAATTACGGGAAGATCAGAGAAATTGGAAGGGAACAACATTGCAATAGAAGGGAAATTAGAAGGGTCCATCTTGAAAAGGGTGATGTGCGGACACAACACAGGGGAAACAGGAGACAGAGGGAGAGTAAAAAGATGAAGAATTGAAGAAAGAATGGTGGCATAGGAATAAACGAGAAGGTAGGAGGGAAACAAGAAAAGGGAGGAGTGAGATGAGAGGGAAGGAAATAAGGTAAAGTGGAATAAGGAATAAGGATCAAAGTAATAACAGGGGAAGAGTAGGAGAGAATTAGGAATAAGCAGATCATAATGGGAAGATAAAAACAAGAGAACTGAAACGGGGACAAAGGACACGATGTGAAAGGAACAGAAGAAGTAATGAAGCAAATAAGATAGTTAGAGAAAGAGATGACCCCGATGGGTGAATGTCAGGTAACCAGCCAAATTAATCTTGAGTGAGCAAGCTGGTTGTGAGGCTCCATTAAAGGATCACCTGAGATAAGTTTGCTGGCAGGTTGGCACCCCCATTATACATAAAACCACTTCACAGCTCATTATTGAACTCGATGTGTAATTAACCCAATTATTTGCTTCGTAGGCAAAGGCCACAATTTCACCAGTACTGCTGGTTGTTATACCATGTATAATGTTACAGCCATAATAATGTCTGTACAGTGGACATTTCAAATCTAATACTAAATAATGTGCCTTTACAGTACACAGTCAGGGATATATATCCCTGTCAAACAGTATCAAGCTGTGCACCTTTGAGCTCTGAATAATTGTGCCAACATGCAGAGACATAGAAACCCAACTGGTAAATGTAGCAGTTCATAAATACTGTTAAGAACAACGCTGTAATTAAACAAGCTAAACTAACTTCAGCTTTTTCTCAAAAACTACTAAATAAATTAACACAAATTTTTGTAAACAATTATAATTCCTTAGATCAGAGTGTCGTTATCAGTATGGATTATGACCATAGTTACAAAACAACAATTTGAGAACCAGGACCAAACTCAAAAGACGATAATGATGGAATAATGAAGAACGTGTTCAAAACATGACATTCTTTAGTGCTTATCTCAACTAGTTGCTTCAGTGTACCCAGATGTACACAGAATACGCAATATCAGTTTTGTGCATACTTGGTTCTCTTGTTCCACCCAGGATTCGCATGGCTTCACCAAGACGTTGCCATCTGCGTGTTCGTTTGGTTTCATGTCAATAGAGCCAACCCACTACAACAGGGAAAAACAGAAGACAGGTGTTAGTTTTCACTATTAACAGATTCTAAATTCTTTTTCTGCATTATTATAACCCTCATACAGTGCTCGAAATAAGAAAAAAAATGTGGTTGTCCGCAGGCATCAAATCGGGTTGTCCGCAACAATTTCTGGTTGTCCCAGAAAATATCCCCAAATCTCCTATTTTCAATCACATAATAATATGATCAGAAAACACCCAAAAACAGTGGCGTAGCCAAGATTTTTTAACAAGAAAGGCCAAAAACAGCAAACTGCGCAAAATAGTGGATGACTTAATATTTTACTGGCTCCTCCGCTTCCCTCGCCACAACCACGCTCTACCTCTCAGCTCTGCAATCTTTGTTTTGGGTGCCATGCGAAAAGGCGACATTTTTGTTCATTGTTCTCTGCTCCCAAGATATGTAATTGTTCAGTGGCAGGTCTAGGATTCCAAGGAGGGGGGAAAATTTTGGAAACTTGCTGGTTTGCTGGTTCCAAATCAAGTTCACCTCTCATAAATCAGAAAACCTGACATATACCAGTGTTGGAAATAGCAGCTGGTCCCATATTTTTATATTATTCACGATTTAATTCACGATTAAGATTTATTCATGAGCTAGAAAACACTCAGATTTAAAGTATGAAAATAAACATTATTGTGCCAGCTAGCCTACACCAGTTGGTTGGGATTGATTATCAGTTCAGATGCAAAATATTGAAAGCAAAAGGTTATACACCATAGATTAATTGGGTACTATAACACGCGTATATAAGATAGCCGAGTCGGTTTAGAGTTAGTGTTAGGGTTAGGGTTAGGGTTGGGTTAGGGATAGTGTGACTGTTTGTACTTGTGTGCGGGACTGCCGTACCCGTAGCCTCGAGACATTAAGATACGGCTGCAGCGCATGCGTAGTGTGACTGCCGTACCCGTAGCCTCGAGACATTAAGATACGGCTGCAGCGCATGCGTGGTGTGACTGCCGTACCCGTAGCCTCGAGACATTAAGATACGACTGCCGTACCTGTAGCCTCTGCGTAGAAACAACGTGTATAAATTGTTTGACTTCTTGTGTATACACCAGCATGGCGGCTATGATATTTAGAGTGGCGGGTGCATTTTAGGATGGCGGGGCTCGACGGCGGCCGGCCGCCAGGCTATAAGTGCTCTTGGAGAACCCTGCACTAGCTATGGACGCAATGCAGGCCGATCGAAAGCCGAAAGAAATTCCATTCGCAGTCAGAAAAATATAAATAAAGTGCGTTTCTTCGTCAACTTTTTTCTTGGTTGTCCACCAGACAATGTGTCAGACTGGTTAGGTTGTCCAGCGCAAATTCCGGTTGTCTCGGACAACCGGACAACGCTTATTTCGAGCACTGCTCATATGATAACAATGTTTACGTAGATGTAGTATTGACCATATTTTTATCAGAGTGGCTATATGCCCAGCAGCCGGCATATATCTGACGGCTGCCGGGCACGGTCTTCGATTTCCTAAATGCCCGGCAGTTTTTAATTTTCAGCGTTATCTCAAGTAAACAAAGATTAGGGTTAGGGTTAGGGTTAGGAAGTAGGAACTGTCGGGCATTTAAGAAATCGAAGACCGTGCCCGGCTGCCGGGCATATAGCCACAGCGTATTTTTATTATCTTTGCTGAGTTTGCTCACTCCCATGTTGCCCTGGGAAGGCTTCTACAGCTGTATCAGCACTCACATGGGTCTACTCAGTACTCTGGTACCGGTAAAGCCA